GAAGGTGAATGGCGGCAGCCGGCTCCTGCTTATAGAGGAAGATCTTGGGTATCTTCCGCCCTGGTACTCATATCCACTTCCTCTGTCTGGGCTGCGAAAACTTCGCTCATATGTGACTCGGCCGGAATGACTTTTTTGCCCCCCCTGTATGTAGCTCTGTCGACAAGGGTGGAGGATGTACTAATTTCGCAGCTCAAAAGTACGAGAGGATGGGGCCACCCGCTTGTGAAGGGGAGACCGCCCCGCCCACCTGGCCAGCATAGGGTTCTATTTAGGGCATTTTCCATGATTTTTTTTTCTGCTTTTTTCTTCACTACTGGATCACGTATTATATGAGCTCCATGACTCGTCATTCTTGAAAGCGGGCTCAGCCTTTGAAGGCTAAGCCAAAGCAGGCATGGCTGCTTGGTGGGCGGGGCGGTCTCCCATTCACAAGCGGGTGGCCCCATCCTCTCGTACTTTTGAGCTGCGAAATTAGTACATCTCCACCTTTGTCGACAGAGCTACGAAATCTGAGGAAGGTGTAGGAACATCAAATGAACGCGGGCGCTGCCTTTAAGCGGCCACCGTAGGCACACAGCGCTCACTGGCTTTATTTTGTCAGAAGGGTCTCCATTGCGCACTCAATTCAAGACATAGTCCTTGTACTGGTACTAATGAAGGAGCGTGGGTAAGTGCATTTCTTTTAGGTTTTTTTACGAATGCGTTCTGATTCACGCTGCCCTGTAGATATCTTTGTTCGGTTCACCGAAGTGTAATAATTTTTATGGAAACAGGAATCATCAGCCTTGTTTTCGATATTGGTGCCTTCCCTACCGAACACAATATTTTTACACTCTCAAAGGATGACGGATGACTCTTAGCCGTTGATCAAACTTTTTTCGGATAAGGCACGCACTCCATTCAGATCATAGTGACTCACTGAATGAGCTGGCCTATACAATGATGTGCGAGGACGAGTCAATGTACCAAACAGTGTCCTTATCCTTGCAGACGAGTTACCAGTTGACCGTCCTAGAAAAGGCTTGGTTGGCCCGAGCGAAAGCCGATCCAGACTTTGACCTTGACGTGTTGTAAACGTGCTGCTTGCCACTACACCACCTTCATCTCGTAGTGACTGACACTCAATCCTTTTATGCTGTTCAAACGTACACGAACGCACTGCAACACTTCATACAATAATCTAGCACAATAAATATGCGAAGACTGATTACCAGCAAATAATAAGTAATAGAATAATCTTTGGATAGCTGCACTTGTTCGCCATAAAATCTCGTATTTTGAAAAGGCTTCAGCTTCACTGGTGTAGAAGTTTCGCTCTGCAACGCAATGCCAGCATATCCTGAAGGGAGAAGACCATTTAAAAACAAGCTAAGCATGCAAATGTCTAGCAACCTTCTTTATTAGCATTCAGAAAAGGAAATGAAAAAGGAAATGAAGAAATCTGCGCTAAAACCACACAGCGATACCAAAACCAAATGTTAAAAAAGATTGTCTCTTGGTCACCTCAGGCGAGCTTCACAAACGGTCAAATGACCGCTCACTTAGGCGCCAGTATCTGAATCGTCATCAGCCTCTTTATAGCATCTCGTTATTGTACGTGCTCACCACAATACACAATATGCTACCGGTTCACTTGACTGAAGTGGCTGTTGACGTGGAAGTGGATGTCGTACACAGATGTAGTGGGCTATAACCTTATTGCGGTCATACCACCACTACAGCTATCACGGGCCCATGTCAGAGAGATAATGGGAGGCTATCGCTTCTATTACTATATTTGTCAAGTTGCCACGGTTGTAGTGGCGTAGGTTTCCCTATCCCGATGTTTGAACGATGTAATCAGACTCACGAGGAACAGCTGCAGAATGCATTCATGCTCAACTGAATTGTGTTCCAGAATGAGAGCAATTTCGTAAGAATCTGGACGCTCCTGCTATACGGTGAACGGGATGGTGTTTTACGGTCATCGAGATCAACTTACATTAAACGTAGTGTGAAGGTTAGCGACATGCAAAGGCTGATCAACGAACATGATCAATTAGGCACTACTATCTACCCCTTGTTTTTTTACGGTCCCTTTCGTTCGATTGCAGATTTGGCCGAAAACTGAAAACGGCGCCAAACATCCCTCACCACTTGGCCCTCCTGGACATGAGTAATATGTCAGCTTGGCCGGATAGCCCTGGCGGGGTGTATAGCAACAGAATCGTCCGGGCAGCTGGTGGGCGTGGATACTTGCGGCGAAAAGACGAGGCGTGCTTCTGGCGCATTGAACTGGGTGACTGAAGGGAAGGTGATTGATATACCATTATAGGGTCTTGTGTTAAGTTTTCAGTTATGAAAAAGTTCAATAGAGCACGAAATTCATTGGGGTCTTTACATTTGCTCTGGTTTGTCATCTTTTACAGCAGCTCACAGAAAAACTTGGCCATCCGTCTATTATATTGACGCTGGCGACTGCGCAAATCATGTGAACCACATAAACATAGGGAGAATCACGGCCTTATCTGATTTCTTTTGTATCTGTTTATTTCCTGAAGTTGCGTTTATGGAACCGCCAAACAATTGTGTGTTACTATCAAGAAAAACATCATTAGATTTTCAATCATTGATGAAACCTGCTAAATGTTGCGGATGTACGCTGTAGTAAATCATTTGCTCCAGTCGCAAAGCTATCGGCTAGCAAATGCACGTAAGTGAGCTGCTGAGTCATTCGCCGCGCGACGCGCCGCGTGCCGCAGGCGCTGCCCCGGACGATTTTATTGCACGTCTCCCGGTCTGGCGCTTGCGCCACAGGCGCTGACATCGAAATAGCCTTAACCGCCAGAGGATAGTTTGACCTCCTGAATACAAATAGTACGTCTCCTCGAGCTCATACGCACCACAGGTGCCAGCAGCAAAGAAATTAAGTCATCAAGTTTGCTGAAAACTTGTTTCTAGCAGGCGGTAGCTTGCGCTGCTAAAACTAAACAACACATTCGCTTGTCCTAATATATCTGGCGCTAGCCCAAAGAAGCCGGCGCCGAGTCACGAGCTGCGCTGGAAACTCGTCCGCTGAAGTAGATTGATGCTCTAAACACGAATCACATCTATCACATCTGCACGTGGTCCAAAGGAGTTAAAGATGGGGTTAGGAAGTGTATAGTTGGTAACATTTCAATTTATCGGGGGCGAGCGCAGCGTCCGGCTGCCCTGCTCTGCCAGAGGTGATCGAGCAATGATCGATGTAGGAAGGAATCAGCCACTGGTGGGAAGGCCGCAGGTGGGAACCGCTGATTGCGACCCGACAGGTCGCGGTGACATAAACTGTACACATGGGAGCGCAGTCTGTTTTTCCTGGTCTGCACTCTTCCCACCTGTCCCCCTTCCCGAGGTAGTGGTCCTTGCAAGTGTGATCCCTTCCCTTGCTTGAAACAGAGCCTCAGCAAATGAAGGATCAATATCGCATATGAACCGACCGTGATGAGGGTACTCAGCGATTTCACGCTGGGCGGATCTGATATTCTCGTTCAGAGGTACACCTAAAACAAATTTTCAGCCAATTTCGTGCATTTTGGCAACGTCTACAGGCGATTCTGGGAAAACGGATGATCACATCGTTATGAATACGATACTTCAAGAGGTCAGACTACGTGTGAAGCACCACCTGCCCTTGACAAAAAATGATAAAAAGCAGGCCTGATTGTGGAACGTGCGGTAGTAAAAAGTGAATACACAATTTTACCGTCTGAATGAATGCCTCTCACCACGTTTCTTATCTGCTGACAGAGTATGATTAGCAGGTGAATCGTTGGAGTCAGATTGTTTGTGCTTTCTTTCTCAAATCGTCAGAATAATAATGCCGTTGTACAGTCAACTCCACTGCTTTTGAAGCATAGCCGAATAATTTTTCCAGCCGTCAACTCCTATCCGATTTCATCTGAAAACATGGAACGTAGAGGGTATTGCAACCTAAAGTGAACACTTTCGGATATAATTCATGATTGTGCACTTACATTAATGTTGGTCTTGATATTCCTAATTCGAGATCGCTTGATTTTCACAAAGAAGAGTATTGACAATATTGGTAGCAATAGCGTGTAATAGTTAAAGAACTAAAAAGTTCCATCGAAAGGGATTGTATGGAACAACACGATGATTCAATACGTTTAGTGTATTTGTAGCTTTGCCACAAAGCAGTTTTCTATATAATAGAAGTTCCCAAAAGTTTCAGATTTCATTGGGAAGGGAAAACGTTTTTTTCCTGAGAAAATTCTGTTTCGCCCTAGGTACTGTGATGATCAAGTAAGATATTTACATCGCTGTTGTGGAAGCGAAGCCGTAAAAACTGTTTCAAGTTCACTTCAGTACCTTCCTTTGAGGAATCCCTAAAAATCATGGACTCCTCTACAGCCTTACAAAATTTTTCCTCTGAACGATGTCACAACCTCTCAAAAAATTATTTTAATGATACAGTGGTGCTACCGTAAGATGAGATAACGTACTATAACGTTAGATGTGACGCAAACTTAAACAAAGCAAAGTGGCATTCCCACTTCAACCACTTTTTAATTTCCACTCATTCTTTTTCGTCGTTTTCTTTTCATCTACTTTCATTATTGCCTTTTTGCCTATTGTGAACCTATTATGAAGCAGAATGTGTGAAGGGCGACCAGTTTTACATTGACAGTACGTGTTTGTATATAATACAATATGAATATGTTTGTAAAATGAATATAGGAGTAGAGTAGACGGCCCAATTTTCCTTAACGTAATGCTTGATCCTTTCTGCAACAGTGCACTGCTCAAACAGATGGAACTATTACTAACGAGGGTTTATTTCAGTTCAATAAATAGCTTCGTCACTAACATGGGCACGCCACCGTCTACTCAGCGACAAGGTGGGTAGATCGAAGAACAACAGCGCAGCCTCGCCTAGGAAGTACGTACCGACCTGATTCATCTGTTTTTCTTCAAACGGCGAGAATCCAAAATATTACAGATATGTAATCGATTGTCACGCAAAGCATTGTGAAAAAGCTAACAAACACGTCTCGTTGCTGGGGCAAAATTTCTTATATAATTCACTCACATCGAGGTTTTCTCTATAAGCATTTTTGAGAGGATTGCTGAATAAGTAGGCTCTCATATAAAGACCGATCGCTTGTGCCAAAAATAAGGCCGTGAACTGACTAGCAGAAATCCAGAAGAGCAGAGTAGATACAATTGCATTCTCACTTGATTGGAATTTCGACGATAGAGTCAGTCTGAAAATGTGTCGTTGACTGCTGTAGTGCAAGGTGATCTGCTGAGCTCGACTGTTGTTGGTACCCTGCCCCACGTACTTCTATAGACGCTGTCCGGCCTGAGACAGCCTCTGCTTTTTTCCCCAGTACTTTTTCTTAGTTCATGTTAAGTAACAGGTCATATTTTGAAGGATTTGTAATTTGTAAACTCCTGCGAAGCATCGAAATGCCACCTTAGTCTCACAGGTTTTCACCGAGGCCTAAACAAACTTAGCCCAGTGCCATCCGGTACCCTATCTAAGACGAGGTTCATGCAATTTCCCAGATTTCTTCAAAAGTAGTTAGAAATAGTTAAACTCTTAAAATTCTAGCCACTAGCTGAATTTAAGAGTTTTTTCCAATGGGAGCCTATAATTATCATTGAACAGAAATTCACTCCTATTTATCCTACTTGTCCTTCACCAAACAGAGCGTAAAAGACAATAAGAATCGTGTCAGGAGATATAAAAGAAATTTGCAAGCCTCACAGTCTCTGTTGGCGACGGCTTACGACGTACAAAGCAATAGTCAGAATCAGACTGACGAAGTTCAGTATGAGCATCGTCAATATCAATATATTTGATCGCGAGTATGAAGTGCTTGGCATTGCTCGAGCATACCATTGTGGTGCATCAAAGGTTTCACCCAGATACGTGAGGGAAAGGCAACAAGCTGTGAGCATCATCCTGAAAAGAGCAGGCTATTCCAATCTTTTGAACGTCCAATTCTCACAGAGCGGGTATCCTTTTCAGTGATCCGGAGTAATCTCTACGCGACATATCGAACTTCCCAAAACAAGCCTGAATTGGACTTCGAACAGGGATAAGCTTCCACCGGCAGAATAGCGCCTCTGAAGCGCATTTCGGCGGACACTCCTCGACTGGCATTACAGAACAACTTGTGCTCTCAGCAAGGCCCTCGCTCAGGAGGCCTTTTTCAACATTAGTCAAGAGCAGATGAAACAGCTGCAGTGAAGTGCCAATGTCGTCCCTGAAATATTCACGGCAGTGGGGCTGGAAGGTAGCAATACATAGGTGCCGCCCCTATACGCCAACAGGGCTGCCTCACGGCCAGCCAAACCCTGCCCCACGTACATCTATAGACGCTGTCCGGCCTGAGACAGCCTCTGCTTTTTTCCCCAGTACTTTTTCTTAGTTTATGTTAAGTAGCAGGTCATATTTTGAAGGTGTAACCTTGGCACCAAGTGCTGCACCTTGCGGATAGTGCAGGCGGAGTATGGAGACAACATTAGGCCGCTACTAGCCTTCCCCCATTCCCGTGCCCTTGTGAGCGAAGAAAGTGGCACGCTTTCGCAGTTGGTGACAAATTTGCATCGCATATGATAAGGAAAGTTCCCGGAGAGTGAGGAGAGGTGAGGGTGCAGTTTGCCTTCAAGGTAATCGGATTGAGCTTGATTCAAGCACTTACGATTGTTGCTATTAAGAACGGTCCAAGCTTTCTGAAGCCAGACTCATAGTTTTGGACGAAAATAGTTGCCGTCCACCTTTCAGCGACCATAAACATTTGGGTGAATTGTGATGCCATTATAGAATAGAAGAGAGGTACACTAGTGAAAACGTAGAATATCTTCGACATGTAAATTTCACACGGCGTTGTGAACAGGAAGGAGATCGTTATATGGTGAACCTGAACACATGGTACCTTTATTTATTCTGTTTCTAGGCTATGTGGCGACTCATTTGCAAGCTAGGCGGGCTTGAGGCACGAACTATAGGCTTATGAACGAAGCACCACTGATTTTGATCTTGCCTTTTTTACGCGTTTAAAACTTTCATTTGGTATTTCACAACTTCATCGACTATTGACATCCCATGCTATTTTTTGATATTTACCAGTCGGATCGCACGGCTGACGCCGAGCTCTCCTCCTTCTTTTTAGCTCGGCTTCGCCGAGCTGGCCTGGCTGCGCCAGGCGCACATCATAACGGGATGGAATTAGTTGACTGTATTACATGCATCGCAACACCAACGATGGGTGATTAACTTGTCACTTAACATGCAATCCACCTGCTAAGGTTGCATGAATGGCTGCAGATGACAATATGTTCATTGAATATCTTACAAACTACTTCGTTATACGTTCTCATCAGTGATTTAAAGTTGAAAAGCAAAAAAAATATTTAAATACTCACTGAACGCATGTGTTCCAATATTGGAGTTTTTGATTTCTCCAAACTTCCTGTTTCAGGCGAAGTATATACCCCCCCCCCTTAGTGGGATGAGTACATTTGGCTTTTTGGCAGTGTAGTGGTCAGAGATGTCGTGAGAATGTCCCCTTATCTTTACTTATCAATTGATAAAATTGCTTGTCACCCGTCATCAATGTCGCTATCACTAAAACTCCATAATTTCGTGGTGTAGAGGCTCCAGCGTTTGATTGAACAACAACTGCATCGTTCTCTATCAGGCCCTATCAGCTGTTATCATTCACCCGCCGTCGCATTCTCCACCTTCCCCTTGATATCATTTGCTGAAATCAACGCCTAACTGATGCTGTGTACCGCGTTATGAGTATGTTGTCCTTTCCACTCTAACTCCCTTTATCAGCGGCTAGCAGTTCTTGTCACCCACATATTCCTGTGCCATAACCTATATCATACCTTGAAAAAACGCCCCAGTGTTCCAGTCGGACCGTCCCTCTGCTTCCTTCTCTTGCGCATGCTCAGATCGGGCTGAGCACGCGCAGGGGAAGGAAGCAGAGGGGGGGGGCAGTGCCCCCCCTCTCGGCCCCACCCCACCCTGCCCCCGCACGAGCACACGTCCAGCTGCCACGCCAGCAGCTCGTGCAATGCATTAGTACATGTGGTGGCGAGCAGGAAACATGGGCGACTAGAGCACCAGACTACGAGGG